GCCAAGAAATATGCAGAAATAGATATTTTAATATCCAACAAATTAGACTTCAAACCAAAACTAATCAGAAGAGATAGTGAAGGATAATGCATATTCATTAAAGACAAAGTCCACCAAGAGGATATTATAATTCTAAACATTTATGTGCCAAACACAATGGCACTCAAGTTCATAAAAGAAATACTACTACAGCTAAAATCACATATTAACCTCACACAGTGGTACAGAGTGACTAGGGTCTTTACTCTTGCCAATAGACAGAACATTCAGCAAATAAATAAATAAATAAATAAATAAATAAATAAATAACAGAGTGATGCTGGCATTAGATAATGCCATAACTCAAATGCATCCAACAGAAATCTATAAAACCATTCCACCCAAACACTAAACAATATACTTTTTCACATAAGCTCATGGAATATATTTTTTAAGTAGACCACATGTTAGAATACAAACAAATTCTCAGCAGATAGAAGAAAGCTAAAATAACACATCCTGCATTCTATTTGATCATCATGAATTAAAGCAGGATATCAACAGCAATATAAAAGAGAAAGAACACAAACTCATGAACATTGAAAAACTAAGTACAAAATGAAAAATGGATCAATAGAAAAATCAAGAAGGAAATGAAAAGCTTTTCAGAACTGAATGAAAAATGGTAACACATATGCAAATCTATGAGATACAAAGAGGGCAGTTCTAAGAGACAAGTTCACAACACTAAGCTCCTACATAGAACAAATTAGAGTAATCTTATATTAGTAACTTAATGAAATACCTAAAAGATTAGAAAAACAAGAATAAATAATATGACACAATCAATGTAAAGAAATTAAGCTCATGGTCAAAATTAAAGAAATAGAAATAAATCAATCAATACAAAATGTCAATGAAGTGGAGAGTTGGTTCTTTAAGAAAATCAACAAGATTGACGAATCCTTAGGCAAATTAGTCTAAAGATGGAGAAAGAAAACTCAAATAAATAAAATTAGAACTGAAAAGATTTTACAGCAGACACCTAGGAAAATCAGACACTCAAGAGAACATACTTAAAAAGTGTTTCCACAAAACTGAAAAACCAAAAAAGAATGGGACAAGTTTCTTGATATGTGTGACCTACTAAAATTAAACCAAGATGAAATAAACAATTTAAGAATCATAATCCCTAGTGAAACAAAAGTCGAAATTAAAATTCCCTGAAAACAAAAAAGCCCAGAGCCAGGTGAATTCAGCACAAATTTCTATCAGGCCTTCAAAGAGTTAACACCAACACTCTCCAAATTATTCTGCACAATAGAAATTGGAGAAAGATTTCCTAATCTACCAAGCACATAAAGATCCAACAAAGTTGAAAATTTTAGACCAATATTTCTTATGGATTCAAAACATCTCAAAATGCTTCCAAACCAAATTCAAGAACACATCAAAATTATTATCAACCATGATCAAGTTAGCTTCTTCCCAGAGATTCAAGAATGGTTCAACATATATAATTAATGAACATATTGTACTATATAAACAGACTGCAAGACCAAACTGACATGATCATCTCAGGAGATTTAAAAAAGGCCTTTGACAAAAGCAATATCCCTTAATGATAATTGAGACCATTGATACAAATAATAAAGGAAGCTCATATGAGGCCCAAAATCAATATCATCCTAAATGGAGAAAAACTCAAAGCAATTCCACTAAAATCAGAAACGTGATAAGGATGCCTACTTTCTCTATTTCTATTCAATATAGTGCTTGAAGTGTTAGTTAGAACAACATAACAACTAAAAGATCAAAGTATCCTTATTTGTAGTTGATATGATTTCATTCATTAAATACCCTAAAAGACTTCACCAGGAAAGCTAATAAACACATTCACCAAAGTAGAAGTATACAAAATTAGTATACAAAAATCAGTAGACTTTCTATATGCAAATGACAAATATAGTGAAAAAGAAATTATAGAAACAATACCTTGTAAAACAGCCTCAAAAATACCTTAGGATGACTCTAATCACACAAGTGAAAGACATGTATAACAAAAAACCTTAAAGCACTGAAGAAAGAAATTGAAGAAGACACAAGAAGATGGAAAGGTCTTCAAGCTCATGGATCAGTAGGATTAATATAGGTGAAATGTCCATCTTACCAAATGCAACTGACATTAAATTCATGCATAGAAATTGAAAATGCAATCTTTAAAAAGAAACATCAAAATTTCAGCACAGCAAAAATAACCCAAAATAATAAAGGAACTGCTCTAGACATCATCATCCCAGATTTCATGTTGTACTACACAATGCAAACAAAAATACAACATGATATTAGCATGAAAACAAACATGTTAACCAATGGAATGGAATTGAATATTCAGAAATAACTCCACACACCTATAGACAACTTATTTTTTGACAAAGAAACAAAAAAAGTATACAATGAAAAAAAAAGACAAAACCTCCAACAAATGGTTCTGGTCAAACTGGATGGCTGATTTGTAGAAGAATGAAAATAGATCCATATCCATTCCCCTGCCCAAAACTGACCTCTGAACAGATCAAGGACCTCAATGTTAGAGCAGATACCCTGAATCTGATGAAAGAGAATGTAACAGGAGATAGTGGCCCTTGCCTTCAATCCCAGTACTCAGGAGTCAAAGGCAGGCAGATCTCTGTGAGTTAGAAGCCACCCTGGTCTACACAGCAAGTTCAAGGACAGTCAGGGCTATTGCACAGAGGAAATCTGTCTTGAAAAACTGAATTGAGGGCAGAGTGGATAACATGCAAGTGAGAACCAAATTTGAATTATGGTACAGCAAAAGACTTTCTGAGCAGGAAATCTGATAGCACAGGTATTATGAACAACAATTACTGAATGGGAGGGACCTCATGAAGTTGAAAAGTTTCTGCATAGAAAAGGATGCCATCATTCAAGCAAAGCAGCAGCCTGAAGACTGGGTAAAGATTGTTACCAATTATGCATCTGATAAATAGCATCTAGATTATATCATGAACTGGAAAAAACCTGAACATCAAGAAAACAAATAACCCAGTTAAAAAATGGGGTATAGAACTAAGCAGAAGAGTACTCTTAAACCAAAACACAAATGTGTAGGCAGAGGCTGCTTGTTCATTTCCTGGCCACCCAGACCCAAAATAATCACACAGAAACTATACTAATTGCAACACTGCTTGGCCTATTAGCTTAGGATTTTATTTAACTAACTCTTACATCTAAAATTAACCCATTTCTATGATTCTATATATTGCCACAAGGCTCATGGTTTACTAGTGAGGTTCCTGGCATCTGTCTCCTTTGACAGCTACAAGACATTTACTTGACTCCGCCTCCTTTTATCCTCTATCTCTACTTGGAATTCTCACCTTGCTCTATTCTGCCCTATCACGGGTCCAAAGAAGGTTCTTTATTAACCAATGGTAACAAAACACATTCCCAGAATCCAGAGGGGAATCCCACATCACAAATGGCTGCAAAAACTTTAAGAAATATTTAACAACCTAGTCATCAGGGAAATATAAATGAAAACAACTTTGAGATTTTATCTTACCCTAGTCAAAATGGCAAAGATCAAAACAACAAATGATAGTACATGCTGATGAGGATACAGGGAAAGGGAATGACTTATTCATTGCTGGTAGGAAATAAGTGTGAAAGTTCCTACTGAAGCCGAGAGTCAGTATATCTCAAGATCCAGTTTTAGTACTCTATGCCATGTATCCAAAGGACTTCCCATGTTACTAAAGAGATTTTTGTTCATCTCTGTTCATTACTGCTGTATTCATAAATAGACAAAAATTGGAAACAGCCTAGATGTCCATCAGCTGATGTACAAATAATGAAAATGAGGTATGTTTACATGATGGAGTGTTGTTGGACTGTTGAGAAAAATGAAATTATAAAATTTGCTGGTGAATGGATGGACCTAGAAACAATGACTCTGAGTGACATAACCCAGACCCCAGAGGGCAAATATGTCATGTTTTCTCTTAAGTCAATGTTACCCTTTAAGTTTTTGATATGTGTGCTACAATCAAAATGACCTGTGCAGTTAGATATTTAATAAAGAACCAGAGAGGAAGAAAGAATCTCCCAATAAAAGGAAAATAGAATAGAATGTTATAGAGATATAAAGGTAAAATCAGAGTAGGATTAAAACGGGGGCTAAATGGAAGTGAAGGGTAAAGGAGAAGATATACGGAGTGACAACTATCACTAAAGGTCTTTTCAAAGACCATATGGAAATCTACTGCTGTGGAGGCTTCCTAAAATACATATATGAGAGAAATTTAAGTGGAGTTATATGATAGGAGAGACAATGACCTAACTATACAGCTATTGCCACCAAGTAAAACCTCCAATGCAAGAAACGGGTTACACCTTGTTGAGTCTTTAGCCAAGGACATCCCATGGAATTGCCTCCACCAACACTATAGACTACTACCAAGGCTGTTGGTTACTCTCCTCACCCTCATGGTCAGGCTCATGGTAACACTGTAGAAAGGAGGTCACTAGTTAGTTCCCAGCTGCTCAGACATGAAATAATTACACAGATACTGTATTAATCAAATCACTCATTGGCCCATTAGTTAAGCATATTGCTAGCTAGCTCTTATGTCTAGAATTAACCCATCTCCATTATTTTATATTTTACCATGAGGTTTGTGGTCTCCCGGCAAGGTTTCAGCGTGTCTATCTCTGGCAGCTGCTCCATGGCTTCTCTTTGACTCTGTCTCCTTTCTCCCAGCATTCAGTTTAGTTTTCCCCACCTAGCTCTACTCTACCCTATCAGGCCAAACCAGTTTATTAACCAAAGGTATTCACAGCATACAGAGGGGAATCTCACATCACAACACTTACTTAGTCATGGGCCATGGAGAAGTCCAGTTGTTACCCAAATAGGTGCTTCACTCCTACTGACTAGCATTCATGGTTCTTAAAGATACTGTGTACACCCCATATAAACATTGTGACCTACAACTTACCCTCTACAGAGCAGAGAAGAGATATGGTCACGATGAGCAGTGTGCTGATTATTGTTGCTGAATTCATGTTGGATGGTAGAAGATGGCTTGAGGTAAAGGATGACCACTCAGTCCCTTTATAAAGCTGGGGAACAGGAAGAAATCTCCAACATCAGCACAAGGAGAAAATGCCCTTTCTATTTACTTTTGAGAAACCACATGTACAATAATGTGGGAAGAAGAGGCTGCCCAGATATCTAGCTACAGCTGAATCAGATAGCTTTCCCTGCCTTATCTCATCTTCTGTGTGTACAAGATATACAGTTTTCTGTTGTTTCAGTAATCTCTCTCTCTCTCTCTCTCTCTCTCTCTCTCTCTCTCTCTCTCCAGACATCAGCAATTGGGATGTAAAGATTGTTAGAGGTTTATATGTCCTAGTTAGTGCTACCAATGAGACACAGCCTAGATTATCTGAGTATCAACTGGATAATTGTCTTCATCAGGTTAGTCTGTAAGCGTGGCCATGGGGACTTGTCTTATCAATGGATACAGGAGGGTCCAGCCCACTGTGAGTGGTGCCATACTTGTGCAGTCATCCTGGGCTAGATAGGGAAACTTGCTCAGCTCGAGCCTCTGAGCAAGCCAGGACAGCCAGTAAGTAAAAAAGAAAGAAGTACTATCCATGGAATTTCTCCAGATGCCTGCTTTGAAGTCCTGCCTTGACCTTTCTTCAATAATTGATCATGATCTGGAAGTGTAAACCATATACCTTTCTTCCCTAGTTGAATTTAGTCACAGTGTTTTATCACAGCATCACAAGGAAACTAAAACACAGTCCACCACGTACTCTCAGGGTCAAGACCATGACACCATCTCTATGGGGATTCTGTTTTTCCAAATGCTACTTTGCTATAAGGTGTGTCTCTCTTTGCCTGACCTTCTTGTATACTCATATCCTTATAACCACTTCATTATGGAGGAGCAAGCACCTGCTTCTTTGACAGCCTGGCCAATTATTTAAAACTTCTTTACTTTGACATTTTTTGTTCCTCTTATACTCTCATTAACTGTCTTTTTACCCAACTACTTCATTATTATCTTTCAAACTATTTTTCTTCTCTATTTTAAAAATTTATTTTATTTTAATTAAAATACAATTGCATAATTATTCCTTCCCTTTTCCTTTCTTTGACCCCTCCTACTTCCCTCCCCCAACATACTCTCAAATTCATGGCCTCACCTATTTTTATTTGATTAGTATTTTTACACATATGTAAATTTATAACTATAGAAAAACAACATGCTGAGTCATTTGAGTGTTGTTTGAATGATTTCGTAGCTGACAGACTATACCCATGATGCCTCAACAATATGGCTCCATATAAGACATGAGAAATGATTAACACCAATATACAAACTTACATGGACCAGGAAAAGCTCCCAGTACCCACCCCCAGATGAAGAACTACAGGTAACCAATGACTGCTAAGAAAAGAAGAATTTGTTTTTTTCTGGGGATGAGTTTCTTGACTGGCTACATAACATTGAACAGTCAGACAATGTCCTTTTTGAAGAAAACCTTCCCTGACAAGCTTGTCTAATCTGAATCTCTTCTGGTTTTCGACAGCCATCTATGCTTGACACACTTGTGATCTCGTTGAGAAGACTTCACATCCTGTGAGGTTCTCAACCAGTGTCTTGGTTTAGCAGACAGTATCACACTTAATAAAATGATCAATGATAGCTTACTGAATGATACAGTTGGAAAATTAATTAATGAGCATGAAATATAAGGGTAGAGACTTTTGTTCAATCCTAGGGAGAATTTTATAATAAATAGTACAAAGCTATAATAGGGCATTTTGTGCAATGGCTTTCAAGTAACTTAGGAATTAGGGCAAGTACTCTCCTGGGAGTTCATGGGTAAACCTGGTAGGGGTGTTGTGTTCCTAGAAACAGCCTTTCTAGAATGTGATCTTATGACCTGTGACATTAGGTGACTAGTCTAAGGACATATCACCAAGGGGATAGTGAGCACATCCATCAGGAAGGACATGATGAACATCTAAGAATCCTTGATCCATACCTCCGTCCATACTGTGTACTCTGTCTGTTTAGAAATAATTCCTGAAAATTTAGGAACAGTTGGCAGTTACCTGAGAGAGAGAGAGAATCATATTGCTTTTTAAAAAATGGATTATAAGAAAATATGATAGTTGTATGTGAAATTAAAAGAAGAATTTCCTGTTGTTCATGGGAGACATACTGGATGCCATCAATAGTACAATGCTAGGATAAATCCATTTCCTTGTGAAGCCTTTGAAGAATGTTTACTTAGGAGGATGGTAATACTTTTAAATATTTATTTATTTATTTTACATCTTCAGAGCAGTTTCTTCTCCCTCCTTTCCTCCCATTTCCCACCTCCCCTCCATCTCCATGCCCCTCAATCCACTTCTCTGCTTCTGTTCAGAAAGGGGTAGGCCTCCCATGGTTATCAACAAAGCACTGTGTATTAAGTTGCACTAGGACTAAGTACCTTCCCTTCTATTAAAGCTGAGCAAGGCTATCCAGAATGAGGACTAGGTTCCTAAGAGACAGCCAAAATATTAGGGACAGCCCCTGCTCCCACTGTTAGGAGTCCCACAAGGAGTTCAAGCTACACTACTGTCACATATATGTAGAAGGCCTAGGTTGGTCCCAGAAGGTTCCCTTCAGACTCTGTGAGTTCCTATGAGCTAAGTTAAAGTTAGTTGTTCCTGTCAGTGTTCTTATGATGTCCTTGAACCCCTGGTTCATACAATCCTTCCTCTCTCTCTTCAGCAGGATTCCCTGAGCTCGGCCTAATGTTTGGCTGTGGGCTTCTGCACCTGTTTTTATCAGTTACTGGATGAAGGCTCGCTGATGACAACTGGGGTAGTCACCAATCTGATCACAGGAGATGGTCAGTCCAAGTTATGTATCCACTATTGCTAGGAGTCTTAACTGGGATCACCCATGTAGATTTGTGGGAGTTTCCCTTGCATCAGGTTTCTACCTGGCCCCCAACCCCCCACCCCACTTTCCAGTCATCTCTTTCAGTACATGCACTCCCCAGTTCAATCCTTCATGGTCCCCACCCAACCGCAGTCCACCCAAAAGAACTCTTCTAATTTTCCTTCCCAGGGAGATTCATGCATCACCCCCCTCCCTGGGCCCTCCTTGTTACATAGTCTCTCTGGGTCTGTGGATTGTAGGTGGGTTTACTTTTCAGCTAATAAAGAATGGCTATATTTCATCCATTCACTCAGTATCTCCATTCCTTTATTCTCCCTCTTTTATTTATTGTTTGTTTTCTTGGCTATAAATAAGCCAACTAGGGAATAGAGAGATGCCTCAGCAGTTCCTGGCTGCTCTTCTAGAGGACCAGGGCTCTATTCCCAGCATCCACATTGCAGCTCACAACTGTCCCCGACATTCAGTGGACCTAGCTTGGTCCTATGCAGGTTCTCCAGCTATCAGTCCAGAGTCAGTGAGTTCTCACTAGCTCAGGTCAGTTGTTATTGTGGGTATCACCATCATGGTCTTGATCCCTTTGCTCATATTATCACCCCTCCCTCTCTTAGACTGGTCTCAGATAGCTGTCACTAGTGCTTGAACTGATGTTTTGGAGCACATTATCTTTGGAGGGATACCTTGCTTAGCCTAGATATAGCAGGGAGGGCTGTTCAACCAATAGCCTTTAAATACCAGTCCACTTGGGTGTGATCTCTTATATTATAAATGCAGTCGTAAAGCTTGTGCTGTGTGTGCATGCTCTGTCCCTCCACTGCTAAATTCAGTTCCTGTTCCCCATTCCTGCAGAGGACTGCAATTTGTGACTCTACTCCTAAATAAAGAATTCTTTATTATACTCAATTCTGAGCTAGTGTGGGATTACTTTACCGCATCCATCTTCTTTTGGTGCCCATGTGAATCCCAACTCTATGCCTCTTGGGATAGGCCCAAAAGGCCCAAAAGGTCTCCCACCCCCACCCATCTGGCTTGTTTTTACCTACTAAGAAGTTTTTGAAAAAGTCCGCCAGATACTATGGGCCTGTAGGCTGAAGATGGATGCCCCAAAATTATAGAAAAATTTTGGGTGACTATCCAGGCAGCCAGAGATCTCTGTCAATTCTAGAGTTTGAAGTTGCTTACAATGCACTTCCTGTTTACTTAGGTAATATTATACCCTTCTGGAGTCTTTGATGGAGTTGAAGAACAGATAGTTATAGTTTTCCTTAGTTACGATAAAAGATAAAGTAGATATAAATATTGTAACTGTAATTATTGCTTGATACCTGTTTTGTTGTATATAATTTTTCCATTTTAAAGCTAAAACATTCCTTTTTATTTAGACAGAAAAGGGGAGGTGATGTGGGATTCCCTCTGTATGCTGTGAACATCATTGGTTAATAAAGAAACTGCTTTAGGCCTATTGCAGCACAGAATAGGGCAAGGCAGGAATTCCACACAGATAGAGGAGGAGAGAGCAGCCATGTAGCTGCAGTAGGAGACAGACTTTGGACACCAGATGAAACCTTATCACAGATTAATAGAAATGGGTTTATTTAAGATATAAAAGCTAGCCAATAAAAATCATGAACTAAAAAGTCAAGTAGTGTTGTAATAACACAGTTTCTGTGTGATTATTTTGGGTCTGGGTGACTGGGACAAACAAGCACCCTCCAACAACAGGGGAGGGTCTTGGTCTTGCCTCCAAGTGAAATATCAGACTTTGTTGACTCCCTATGGGAAGACTTACCCTTTTTGAGAAGTTGATGGAGTGGTGGGGGGGGGGCAGGACCGGAGGAGGGAAGGGAGTAAGAATGGGGATAGCTATGTAAAATGAGAAAAGATCATATTTAAAAACTAAGAAATATAATTTGGCTGGTAAAGTGATCTGGACAACCAATTCTGAATGTAGTTTTCTCTGATTCCCAAGAAATTTGCCTTCAGGTGTCAATCATTTTCTTAAACAGATTCAGACTCCATTTTAAATTTGCTCTGCTACTATTTTTCTTCCTAGTATTCCATTCTCAGAAGTATCTGTATTTGTATGTCATCAACTGTTTCTGGGTTTGATTAGTTTAATTGTATTGAGAGGCAGTTACCTCCACTCAGATC